AAAAGAATGAAGACTTAACATAGCTCCATAGAGGTGTTCCTTTTAAACATTGAATCACCTAGAATATTTTTCATATTTCTACAGCAGCCATCAAGTTCACCTTGGCCTACTCCATTAGGATAATGGGAACATGAATTCTATCCATATCAACATATGCCTTGTTATGCAGAAGACAGATCATTACATCCATCTTCAATAGTCAAGAGGAGATGTCCACTACCTTTTAAGCAATAGATAGTTCCTTTATTTGGAGACAAGTAAACACTGAGTTGCTTATTATTAACAGAAGTTTGAAAATTTTCAAGAAAGGCTAGTGTGAGGGCACCCAAACACACGCTCGCACACGCACGCACACCCACACCCACACACAAACCCAAACCCAAATAAACACAACCTCCTCTAATGGTAGATGAATAAAGACTTTACACAGGGGAGACCCATTAATGGTAGTAGTGATTAGCTATGAAAAAAATCCAAAACCTAACAATCTAAGCAGAGAAGTCAAAACTTAAAAAGAAAGAGGAATATCAAATGTGTGTGTATGTGTGTTTACTAGTAAAATCTATGTAGAAGTTACTCTAACATGCATATAACTTTTTATTATAAGGGTTCTCTTATAATTATGATAACATCCTTCTTCTAAGATTGTATCAACAGTCTAATCTTCCATTATTTTCAATTTCAGTTTTAGGAGAGAATATGATGAAGCAAGTGGTTAATTCCTGGGTCTATGTAGCATAATATAAATGTAAAAACATGAGAAGGATCATAGGCAGTTGCTACTGAAAAGGCAAACAGCACAACACTGGATGCTGTAGAGAGATGTAATTAAAGCAGTTACAAATATTCAATCATATTAACAAGTCCCTCTTAGAAACTGGTTAAAGTAATTATAGGCAGACTGTTGAAAAGGGAACCAGAGTAATTAAATGGAGGTGATTTAGTATACATTAAAGAAAGAATCAATTAAAAATATTCAGTCTAGTGGGAATTCTTGGTATAAAAGAAAAATAAGGCAGAAATTTCTGTGATTTTAGAATAACCTTGAAGATATTTTTAAAATTTATCTTTATAGGATAAAATAAAATACACTTTCATGATATGTGTAGCCTTTATTGAAGGCCACTTTTTATTTGTGATTTTTGTAAAGTTAATTTACATTCACCTGTGAAATGTAAGAGATTAATAATTGTACTATGATAGCAAAGGAGTCAATACAATGCAAAGCAATCATAAACAGAAAGTGGTATAAAGAAAGCCTTCTTTGAGTGCTTGCCACCATTACTACTGGTTATGAAGGTCTGCCTACTGGGGAACTATTAATAGTTATATATTTGATGGGCAGCAGGGGGTACAGGGATGAAGTGCAGTCCTCTAAATATTTTGGTAAAATTTGGTTCTTTACACATAGTAAATCCGATTTAAATTAGGAAAGATATGTTTCTACATGTGTTTATCATAGGAATGATGAAAACAGAAAATCATAATACTAGCAAATGTTTTATACAAATATCAATAATAGATGCTGAAAATAAAATAGGAAACATGATGAGAAACAGGTTACTCATATAATATAAAAGTATCTCCACAAAAAGATAATTAATAATTAGTATTATTTAAAAGTACCAAGAAAGACAAGGATCCTAGAGACATGACAATTAATTGCAATGAAGGATCTTGGAACAAAAAAGAGCATTAGTGGAATAAAATTCATGCAGATAAAATTTGAATTAGAGGGGCTGGGAAGGTGGCTCAGTGGTAGAGTGCATGCCTTGCATTCCAGAGGTCCTGGGTTCGATTCCTCAGCACCACATAAGAAAAAAGAAAAAAGCCGGAAGTGGCGCTGTCGCTCAAGTGGTAGAGCATTAGCCTTGAGCTGAAGAGCTGAGGGACAGCGCCCAGGCCCAGAGTTCAGGTCCCATGACCGGACCCCCCCAAAAAATTTTTTTTTGAATTAGATAGATAAACTAGTTATTAGAACTAAGAGGGAAGGGATAGTAGGGGGAAAACAAAGGAGGAGGCAACAGTGCTTGATAAAAAATGTACTCATTACCTTGCTCATGTAACTGTAACTCCTCTGTACAATATTTTCACAATAAGAAACTTATTAAAAAAAAGAACTAAGGTAATTAGATATTATACTGAGGTAAGAAGTTAACATTAGGAGAAGCTAGGTCAAGAATATGATAGAAATCTAATTTCAACATTATATAAAACTTTAATTCAAAGTCTGAAATTATTTCAGAATGAAAGACTGAGTTGAAAATGAGTAAAAAATTCACTAAGTATGAAAAACTCTGATATTATCAGGGCAAATGCACAATCACTACACCTGTAATCTCAGCACTAGGGAGGCAGAGACAAGAGGAACACAAGTTTAAGGCCAGCCTGAGGGACACAGTAAGATTCAGTATCAAAACACCGGGGTTGGGGATGTTGCTAGTGGTAGAGCACAAGCTACTGTGTATACAGGTCCTGGGTTTGACTGCCAGCACCACAAGGAGGTAATTACTCTTGATGACTTAATTTATAATATGCTGTTTTTTAAAATTATAATAAAGCATACTATTATATAATTGAGGTACACTTATATAATCAAGGAGAAAACTATTCTTTCTAAATATTACTGAGAAGTTTTAGAAATATTTAGTAAACCATAATCATCCCTAGGAAATAAATATAAAATTATCCAACAGTGGTAAAAAAAATACTTGACTGAGTCTCTTCCTCTAACAGCAAATTTAGAAACAGATTCCTCTGAAAACTGCTGTATTATAGCCTTATTGGCAGAGTGCAGACAAACAAGATGTCAATGAGTATGGATTATATTTTTCACTTGATATACATGTAAGATTAGAAAGCAAAAACCAACATATGTGCAAGTATAAAAACTTCTTCTTACATCTTCTATCCAATTCTTACTGACCCGTGAGTTCACTGACAAGTCAGTGTTTGAGGAAGGAAAAGTTACAGGAAACACAAATGAGTATCAAGGGCCTCAGCTAAAACTCTAACCTTGGTTTATAAAGTGTGACTAATAAGAAATATTAAATCATCATCCTAGAGAAGTAAACCATATGTTAGCCATAAACATGTGTCAGATAGCTTGTGCTTACTGTATTTAGAAATACTGCCATTTTAAAATGGCATTTTTATTTTTGACAATAAAAATGTTAAAGGCTCAATATAAAATGTTCACGTATTTTAGAAAAGCAGAAAGAAACATTTAAAAGAGCACTCCAAATCCTGCTATCCAGAGACAGCTACTGTTAAATCATTCCACATCTTTTCTCCAGGTTAGCTTAACCTATGTTGCAGCTATAACACAATTGTAATATTCTATAGTGTTCTATCACCTGAAAGTACTTAAGGTTATCTGCAAGCCTTTAATTTTTACAAATTAGGCCATCATGTATATTTTTGTACACATATCTTCACAGATTTTTTCCTACCTTTAAAAACAGCTAAAATCTTTCAAAGTATTTTTCTGACAGAAATGTCCAAAACAGGTACAATATACTTCTTCCCTCACTAAAATCTTCTCCTCCCAATAAATGGTAAGTTCCTTCCTTCCAGCTGCACTGGGAAAAAAACTCTGGGACCACTCATCCATTCAGTATATTATTTTAAATCTCATTTTTTTTAAGAGTCCAATAATTTCCCACCAGCCCCAATTTTAAAAATGGACTGGTTACCAATGCTTCTTATTCAGACATAAAACATTTAAGGCAGGAAGACTTCATTGATACAGGTTCAGTTCCACAATATAAGCAACTCTCAAGAAATACTATTTGTCAAGTTTTTGTCTTGAATCAAAGAACAATATTGACAATTATCTGAAAAAGCACTTCAAAGTACTCCTCCCTGTGTGTAATTTCCCACATAGGGAATTCAGCCTGGAGGCTAAAATTTCTTCATATATGTACTTCAACTGAAACAGTGTATTATCATATATTATCATATAATTTTGTATTGATTGCAAAAGCAGGTAAGTAACTAGTTTTCACTAAGATGGGTTATTTAAGCAATTTAGAAAATGTATACTGTGCCATGTTTTTTCACTAATTTTTTGTTACTTAGAAAACGTTTTTTCATGAAAAATGATTTATGTTAGCATATAATGAGTCCATTAGTTACTTATAAGTGAAGTAGTAGATACTTGACTTTCACAGTTCAATTACTATGGAAAATATTGATTTGGTGTAACTGTCATCACTGTTAGTGAACCGATGCTCTAATGGCTTTCTTTTCATTCAAAGTAAACATTAAAATCCTTACTATGGTCCACAAACTCTCTGAACAAAGACCCCATTTTCTCTCCCATCTCTCCCATCTATTTCTAGTCTCATTTCCAGTCATTGCTTTCCATGTTTGATTTTCCTTGAATACAAGGAGTAACTTCCTATATGAGAACTTTGGCAATTAGATTTTTCAAAAAGTCTCTTCACTTCATTTTTCTTAATTAATTAGCTCTAAATGACATAAAAAATCTTTCACATTGTTTCACTGGGCTTTACTGCATTTAAAAAACAGTTCCTATGAGTTACTATCTGGTCTTTCTCTCTGTCTCTGTCTATCTCATACACACATCTTTTTTTCAAGACAAATCTAATTATGTAACCCAGGCTAGCCTGGAACTCAAAACCTCCTTTATCTGCCTCCCCAGTGTTGGGACTATAGGTAAGTGCCAATATGTCCCAATGAGTTGAATTTTGAATTGAGAGTACCCTCCCCCTTGAGCGAAAGTCTATAGCAGCAGAAGCTCTTGCCTGTTCAATGCTCAATTCACAGAAAAGTATTTTGCTTTCAATACATTTTAGTTGAATGGGTCTTTGAAATTAGCATTGTAATGTATTTGTATTTGCTTTTCTTTTGGAAATTCATAATTTAATACACTTTTCTCGACAGTGCTAACATAATGTAAAAAATATTTGATCACTTAGGAAAAGAAGGGTAGAAGTGGTGGAAGAAAATATGTGTGTCAAGGATGCCTTTCATACCTGACATACTCTTAGAGCTTGGTCCAAGACAGTCTTGGTATCAGTGTCATAATCCGGGCAGGGCAGCATGGCTCGGCTAAGATGTGCCTGTAGCAGGAGATGTGCTTTGGTGTGAGGGCTGTCAAATGAATGAGGATTTACTTCAATGGGAAGACATTTTGCTAGTTCACTGTTCATATGGTCTTCATTGTGTCTTACTGGCAAATCTGTATATTCTTCTGCATCCTGAAAAATATAAGAATGCACTTTTTAAATTTACTTATTGACTTAAAACACAGTTTAGGAAAAACATAAATAACCAAATTTGTCTTAGAATTCTGCTTTGCTCAATTCTATCACTAATTCATAAGCAAAAGCCAGAACTATCTAATATATCTGATAAGCATGATGCTCTAATGTGTCTACACATGTATCATACACCACATGACTACTAGGCACAGCACATCACCATGACAATGTGGCCATGGAAGGAGAAACCGGGCCATCAGGGAAGCAGACAAACGCCACAGTCTGATGAACGCTATGATATTCTAAGCATAAAGTCATGAAGAGACATTTGGTCTGGGAAAGCTGCTGCTTTCAAAGGTCAGGAAGAGCTTTTTTGAAAGTGATGCTTAAGCTAAAATATGGAATGAGGGTAAGATATAAGGCAGGCTGTAGGAGGTAGCAAGAATAGGATTAGTAAGGGAAGAAAACGGTGAAGAGTTGGATCATGAATTTATAATGTACTATAATCTATTAGTTAAAGCTAACTATTCTGGAATAAGGGGGTATATGGGTATTCTCTTTATCTTAGAAGGTTCAGTAGGTAATTACTGACTGATATTATGGAGACTATATTTCACTATTGAACCCTACATACGTAGACTTTTCCATTAAAAGTAGACTGACCTACTTTTATGAGTATTTGCAATGAGAGAAAAATCTAATTTTTCAAATATACACTTGACATTGGGCCTGTGCCTGTTGACATCAACCACAATTAATATTCACTGTTTAATAGTGTTAGAATAATAAGGATAATATTTATCTTCCCTCAATACAAGAAAAGACAATATATATATATATATATATCAATGACCTTCCCAGGACTGAGCATAGGGCTATGAAAGAGAGTCATCCTTGAAATAAACAAAACAAACAAGGTGAGATATACTATTGCTCCAGCTTACTACATGGGGACTTTTGAGGTTAAGATAAAGAGAGGAATCCAAACAAATCTGTAAGATTCCTTAGCTAAAAGTCTAAGGATAGGGAGGTAGCTAACATTTGCATAAAAGAAGATCAGAGGAGACAGATTTAGGGGGACAGAAAATGTTTGTACATGCTTTCAGAGATGTAGGAGGTCCCTCTTTGACACTTCAGCAGAATAATGCATAGCGCATGCTTATAAGAAAACTACTCAAAGATAGAAAGATGGAGAGAGAATCTTGCTCTAACAGTGCCACGAATAATGCCTGTTCCTTCCAGACACTTACAATTCATAGGACACAATATAGAGAAGAACACTATTTACTGCCTAAGGATTGGGCAGTGATTAGCTCTCTAATGTAAACTATTTAGTGAGTTCGTAATAAATTAGAAAAGTACAATCTAAAAGGACCAAATGCTCAAATAAGTAAACTGAATTCTATAACAAACTTCAGGATTACAATGTGAAACATTTACTCTTCTAATACCATAGCTAGAAAATTCATGAAGAAAAATTGGTATAACAGAGAAGTTGAACAAGAATCACAAATATAGTTAAAGATCTTATAAACACATATCTTTCAAAAATTGGTAATATGCCCAAGCCCAGAGTTCAAGCCCACGACTGACCAAAAAAAAAAAAGCTCAAAAATTGGTAATACAAATAGCTAAAAATTAGCAATGTAGTAAAATAAAATAATATTATCAACTAAGCTGACATGATAGACATTTATAGAATACCAAACCCAGTAACACTAGAATAAACAGTATTCTCTAAAAACATAGACAGCATTTAATGAGATCGATCAAATTCTGGGCCATAAAAGCCAGGTCAAGAAGTCACATACCAGTATCAGAAATGACAGGATGGATACAACTACAAATTTCATAGGCATCAAAAGGATAATAAGAAATAATATGAACAGACTTATTCTGTCAGTGCAAAAACAGATAATAAATGAAATTCACACAAAAAGAAATAAGTAATCTGAAAATCCCTACATGTATTAAGTAAATGTAAGTTTTAGTTAGAAAATTCTTACAAGGGAAATTACTTACATGCCATGGTAGATTACTTTGGGTATTTTACCAACATTTAAGGAAGAATTAAATCCAATTTTGTATTAATTTTTCTTTGCTTTTTTTTTGTGTCAGTTATGGGGCTTGAACTCTGGGCCTGGACCCTGTCCTCAGCATTTCAGATCAAAGCTAGTGCTCTACCAATTGAGCTACAGCGCCACTTCCGGTTTTCTGGTTGTTAATTGAAGAGTCTCACGGACTTTCCTGCCTGGGCTGTCTTTGAACCGTGATCCTCAGATCTCAGCCTCCTGAGTAGCTAGGATTACAGGCATGAACCAGAAGTCCAGTAGTGCCAGTTTGTATTAATTTTTTTTTTTTTTGGCCGGTCGTGGGGCCTGGGCGCTGTCCCTCAGCTCTTCAGCTCAAGGCTAACACTCTACCACTTGAGCCACAGCACCACTTCCGGCTTTTTTTTCTTTTTGCTTATGTGGTGCTGAGGAATCGAACCCAGGGCCTCATGCATGCAAGGCAAGCACTCTACCACTGTGCACCTTCCTAACCCATATTAATTTTTCCAAGTAACAAAAAAGTAATATTGTCTTTGCCTCCTTTGGGAAAGATCAAAAAGCTGTAGCCACGTGATTAAAATTTTAGATCTTTTATTAAATTAGGTGTCTATTTTATATGTGCCAGTACCAAGTTGTTTTTGTTACTATGGTTATGTAGTACAATTTGACGTCAGGTATTATGAAATCTTTAGCATTGTTCTTTTAGCTCAATATTTGTTTTGACTACTTGGGGTTATTTAAGCTTCCACATGAATTTTCAAATTCATTTTCCTTTTTTAGTTTTATTTTTTTAATTAGCACACATTAAAAGTACTAGAGCTTCACTGTGATAACTATCAATACATATAGTCTCAGATGTCCCTTGTTCCTTCCCCTTTTCCAAATAGTTCTTCATTATGCTCATTTTTGATTTATATGAATTATACTAGGATTTTTAAAAAGTTTTTTTTTATTGTGAAAATACCATACAGAGGGGTTACAATTACATGAGCATGGTAATGAGTACATTTCTTTTTTTTTTTTTAATTGTGAAAATACCATACAGAGAAGTTACAATTACATGGGTAAGATAACGAGTTCATTTCTTATCAAGCATGGTTGCCTGCTCTTTGTTTCCCCTTCCCATTCCCTCCCATACTCCCCCACCTCTCCCCACATGAACCCACCCCCCTCACCAAAGTTGTAAAGTTCATTTTTCGACATAACAACTTGTACATCTCATTGTTGCAATGGGTCCACCTGTATCACTAGTTAAACGATTTATTTTTTCCCTTCCCCTCCACAAATTATACCAACATCAGTACAGTGAAAGCAGGGATTATACCGTGAGGGAGGGACATACAAGCAACATAGAAATCATCTTATAAATATGTTAGAAACAATTGCATGAAATAAAAAAAATTTGAATACTTACCAAGCATTGTTGCCTCCTCCTTTGTTTTCCCCTACCATCCCTGTCCTCCCATCTCCACGACTATTACCCCCACCCCCAAAGTTCGTTTTTGGACACAGCATCTTGTACCCATTGTTGCAATGGGTCCACCTGTATCCCTGTTTTTTTCCCTTCCCCTCCCCAAATTACATCAACATTAGACAAAGTAAAAACAGGGGCTATACCGTGGGGGAGGGACATACAAAGCAACAACAACAAAAAATCATCTTATAAATATGTTAGAAACAATTGTAAGAAAGAAAAAACCACTTGTGTCCTTATCTTGGGGTTCATTTCGCCTAACATCATCTTCCCTGATCTTTTCTGCTTGTCTCAGACACATTCTAGTTATGGCAAATAAGGAAAACCATGGGACCTAAGTTACCTTGGGCCTGGCTTACTTCACTTAATATAATTTTTTGCAAGTCTTTCCATTTCCTAACAAATGGGGCAATGTCATTCTTTCTGATGGAGGCATAGAATTCCATTGTGTATATATACCACATTTTCTTGATCCATTCATTTACTGAGGGGCATCTGGGTTGGTTCCATATCTTAGCTATGGTAAATAATGCTTCAATAAACATAGTTGTGCTGGTAGCTTTAGTGTGGTCTTGTTTGTGATCATTCAGGTAAATGCCCAAAAGTGGGATTGCTGGGTCACAGGGGAGCTCTATGTGGAGTCTTTAGAGGAACCTCCATACTACTTTCCAAAGTGGTTGCATGTAGTTGCAGAGCTTCTGCATGGCAAAGGACATAGCTAGCAAGATCAATAGAAAGCCCATGGATTGGGAGAAGATTATACTAGGATTATGATGGAAATTTTCACTAACACATCTACAGATTCAATCTAAGCATTCATTTGCATTTTAGATTCTGTCTAAATACAACACTTTATCTTGAAGAAAATACAATAATTCTCTTAGCACTGCAAATAAATTGACTTTCCACTGACAGTATATAAAAAGTTTAATTAAAATTAAAAATATGGAAAGTAGAAATCTAAGTATTAGTTAATAGTATTATCTAAATTCAAAAATCCGATTCACTCAACAGATCTTGTTCAAATTTAATTATATATATTATACAATCCTTTTCCTTCCACAGAGAGATCAATTCCATGAGCCTTAGCTTCTATACATTTCTGAAAGTGTAGACATCTTCCTGTGTATGAAATAGTAGGCAAAGATGTGTATTTAAAAATATAGCACGAAAAAAAAATATAGCACGACTCCTACATGCAACCAACTGCTTACTTTGGTGCTTAAGAAACAGTGATCTGCTCTAATGCTAGAGGTAAAACTTGGTGGTGTTGAAACAGTATGCCAATGACACACTATTATTCTTATTCTATTTGCCGGGCTTCTCAGGTAACTTTGATTATGGATTTTTTTGTTTATTTTATTTCTTAACTTTTGAAGACTAACTCAACAGAAGATGTGGTGACACTTTTCTCTAAACCATCCTGATTTTGCCAAAATTATCTGATTTATTGCTTTAATCTCTTTATTCAT